AGGTGGGCTTGCCTGCAGAAGGAAGGAGGCAGGTGGGCGAGCACACGGGCAGTCACTGTGTCCACATCCCCAGGTTGCTCTGCTGAGAGGCTCTGTCCCCTGCACAGGGGCAGTGGCTGTCCTTGCCCAAGCAGTTTTTCTATAAAGGAATGACGTGCTCTCTTTAGAACTGTGTCTTACTTTCTCTCTCCGCAAGGTTTGAGTATATACTGTCCTCAATGTCTGCCCTGCAAATGAACAAAAAATAGAGCTGAGGCCTGACCAGCCAGGGTGGGGTTTATCCCGTTTTCTTAACTTGCTGTATCAGCTGCCCAATTTTCCCCCTATTTATGTTTATAAGACTTCAGTTAAGATTTCCCAGAGTGGGATGAAGGTCCAGAACCGAAGCCCAGTTCTAGGGAACACTCTGGGAAAAGGAGGTGAAGCCTCGGATTCTATGGGGTATCCCCATTTGAATGAGCTGTTATTTCCTGATTTGTTGCCAGATGATCCTTAAAATTTCATCTGAGCCCTATCTTTGCAACTAGTTTTTCAATTTCTGCAAGATCATGAATCGTGCCTTCTACCACTTTCTACCCAGCCCAGAACATAAAGTGAAGTGGATTTCCACAGTGCCGGGCATAGGAAATACTTGCTGACTTGGCTATTTCATTGATTCCTGCGGCGTCATTATCATAAGCATCCTTAACAAGTGGGTAGCCATAGTGAGGCCAGGGTGAGGGCAGTTCAGAACAAAAGGAATTCATGAACAAGGGCAGTAAAAGCAAACACAAACATTAGGAAAGATCACTGCTTAAAGACCCAGGTCTGAGCGCAGCTGGAAGACTGCTCCCCTGCCCTGGGAGTCCTGAGCAGCTCGCTGCCTGCCACCTGGGGTGGCTTGGCTCGCTTGACTCCCAATATCCCTGTCTTTTCACCTAATTCTTTTCAGCCCATGGTTCAGTTCCCCTTATCTGAAGAAGACAGCCTAAGAAATGGAGAGCCCCAACTAAGCAGCACTGGGGAGCTGACAACAGGACCTTACTGACTATTTTGGTGCTTCGCACTTTCATTCATGTGAAAAATTACATTTTCTCCGTTGATTAAGTTGGTATCATCTGCAAGCAGAGGATGGGCTATCTATGATAGGATGACAAATATTTTTACATGGAGAAAGGAAAAGCTCATGTGTAGAAATGAGAATTTGAGGAATAGCATGAAGAAAGAAAAAGAGGGGAGACCGAGCTCAGGCCTGGTGTGCCACTCCAAGCGCCCTGTCCTTCTTTCTTGGCCCCTCTCCACTCCCAAGCACACAGCCTCAAGGGACCGTGCAGTTTCCAGCTCTGCATTCGAACCCTAGGATGGTCCCTGAAGGAATTTCTAGCACATTGTAATCATGGTGACAGGCGGTTTCAAGAGGCTCTGCCAGTTCTGTCTTGAGAGAGCCCTGATCTCTTGGCACTGGACAGTGAGAACCGGGCCACAACAGCAGCCAGTGCTTCGGGGCACTCAGTCTGCACGCGACACTCTGCTGAGGGCATCATGTCATGGTTTTACTTCCTGCCCACAGCAATCCATGTACTATCACGTCTGACAGATTCAGAAACAGAAGGTTAGACAAGTGTGACTTGCCAGCACTTCCCAGCTGGAAGGTGGCAGAGCCAGGATGAAGCCAGGTCTTCCTGGTTCTAAAATCTGAGATTTTAAACGTGTTGCTCGATGTAGTCCCCTATCAGTATTAGACTCTGAGAGCGCGCAGTAAGTAGGTAATTAAGAGACAAAACTGAGACTCCAAATGTACTCGAGCTCTCTGGCTTTGAAAACAAAACAGACACTTCATTTTATTTCCTCCATATTCGCCTGTTTCTTTCATTCTGCCTCTGTAGATATTTAATCCTTTCACTAGCTGGCTGTATAAATGGGCAGATAATAAGATCTCTGATGTTCAGTTTCCCCATCACAAAGATGAAGGGGTTGGAGGGTAAGAGATGAGCCCTCCAATCACTGCCAACAAGAATGAATGGGAAATCTGCCGCCTTTGGTAGCTTTACCTCCTCAGGCAGCACGAACAGGTCAGAGGCTTTAGAATCAGGCAGATCTGATCCCAAATCTCCCCTGGTGAATCAAGCCTGGCCCTGTACCTCGGGAGGCAAGTGTGTCTCAAGACCTCAGTTCACCAGAGGCCCCATACAGGCTGTGTGGAAAGGTGTCCATCTGCTGTACAGTTGTCACTTGGTACCCATAGGGATCAGTTCCAGGAGCCCCTGCAGATGCCAAGATTCATGGATGCTCAAATCCTTGATATAAAATGGGGTAGCATTTTCATATAATCTAAGCACATTCTCCTAAATACTTTATTTATTTTGATTTTTATCTGTTTGTTTGTTTGTTTAATTATTTGAGACACAGTCTCACTCTGTTGCCCTGGGTAAAGTGCTGAGGCATCATCACAGCTCACAGCAACCTCAAACTCTTGGGCTCAAGTGATCCTCTTGCCTCAGCTTCCCAAGTAGCTATAGATGCTCACTGTGACACCTGGCTAATTTTTCTATTTTTTTTTAATAGAGATGGGGTCTCGCTCTTGCTCAGGGTGGTCTCAAACTCCTGAGCTCAAGCAATCCACCTGCCTCGGCATCCCAGAGTACTAGGATTACAGGCGTGAGCCACCCCACTGGCCTTTCCAAAATACTTTAAATCATCTCTAGATTACTTATAATGCCCAATAGAAGGTAATGCTATGGAAATAGTTGTTATACTATGTTTTTTAGGGACTAATGACAAGTACAAGTCTGTATATGTTCAGTACAGATGTAATTCTTTTTCAGATATCTTAGATCTATGGTTGGCTGAATCCGCAGATATGGAACCCACAAATACAAAGGGTAAGCTGTGTAAGTGTTCTCTGGTAAGCGTTTGTTAAACGTTTCATTCCTGCCTCTTCCCTCCTAGCATCTGCCTGCTCTTCTGCCATCGGAGCGCCCTGACTGTGCCAGCCTCTAGGCCATGGAGAATGAGCTACCGGTCCCACATACATCTAGCAGTGCCAGTGTCACCAGCAATACCAGTGGGGCCAGTAGCAGCAGTGGCTGCAACAATGGCAGCAGTGGCGGGAGTGGCCGCCCCACTGGGCCCCAAATATCTGTGTACAGTGGTATCCCTGACCGGCAGACCGTGCAGGTAAGACTCTCATTGATCCAGGAATTGTATTCCTTAATCATATTCAGGGATAGCCAGGAGGAGGTGTTGGCATGGTCTGGTAGAATAACCTGGGTATGGAACAACTCTAGAAGGGGCATAACGGAGTGGGTATATATCTGTGCAGAGAGAGAGGAGGAGAAGTGATCCAAGATGTGTCCGATCAAGGAAGTTTGGAGAGAGGGAAATTACTTAGCAGATCAGAAAAACTCCTTTCTTACCTGATGGTTCAGAGCCTAGAGGGCTGTTGGGGAGGTGAGCTGTGTGGAAATGTAAAAGGAAGACAGAAAAACAAACAGAAGAAAATGGCTGGGAGCCGCTCAGTCACAACCCAAATGGCCATTGCCCTGCAAAGAACAAATCCTTAAGTTGTTCAAAGACCGAGAACCAAAAAAGAACCCCCAAACAATCCTTTGTCTTTGCAACTTTTTACCTTCTTCCCTAAAGCAGCAGTTTGCAAAGTGTCATCCGTGAGGCCTCCCAGATGATTACACAGTGTTCCAAAATGCAGTCATGACCACCCGTGGCTGTCTGCTATGTGCCCTGCACCGTATTTATCTTCTTCTCCTCCAGCTGTGAGAATGTGTGTTATTAGCTACAGTTCTGTAATTGAGAAAACTGTGACTCAGGGAAAGTAATAGCTCGTCCAGAGTCATTCAGGTAAAGACAAAAAATTGAATCTCTCACCCCAAACCTATGTTTTTAATCATGGCAATGTCTGTTTGAGGTTTCCAGATAATACATACAGGAAAAAAAGTCACTGCAGCCAAAAAGTATTTATTCTAAGTAACTTTGCTATTATAGTTTGGATATACTAGAAAGGTAACCTCATCCTGCTTTGGCCCTGGGCCTAGAAAAGGGAGTAGAGGAGAAGCCACAGAACAGGGAGAGGGCCTGAAAACTCCAGTTAAAGAAGCACCATCAGATACTCTGGACTCTTTCCACGCCCAGTTATTTCTATCTCATACTTAGTAAAACTATGAGTCCTGTTCCACCCCAGCCCCTTCGTGCACAAGTTCTTTAGCTCTAATTTCCAGCAGTGACATGAGCAGGTGCTCACCCATCTCAGCTCTAGGCAAGAGGGATTTGGGGTTTCTGCTCCAGCAAGTGGAATAACCCAAGGTTGGCTTCTGTGCCTGAGCAGAACCACTGGGGGCTCCTCCTGTTTCTACCCATTGACATTCTGGACTCCAGGAGTCACAGTGTATCAGCCACTGCCAGATGGACACTGGGAGGTCACTTTCAGGGGTCTAAAGACCTAGGTAAAGGGAGTAAGGACAAATAGTCAGGAGAATCAGAAAAGAAAAAGAATGGAGTTCATGTGAAAGAGGACCTCAGAAAGGAGAGTGCACTTAAGAGATATGAATCTGGGGAGAACGTGTGGGAGAGCTGGGATGGGGTGGGGATGTCTGGGGGGACCAGAGCTCATGGAGGATCTGTGATGTCAGCCTGTTTTCATAAAACTCCAAGTCTGAGCCCAGAGGTTGTTTTGTCCTAGAGTCACCAGCCCTAGAAACCACACTAAGCTGGAGAGATTCTGACCAGGCTTGCTTGCCAGAATAAGGCCCCCGGTTAGAAACAAACTATGGCCGGGAATTCAACAGAGCGAATGGAAGGAAGTAGGCAGATGCCAGGGCAGGGCATCAGCTGGGAGAGATGGCAGAAGGGTGGCAGGTACGAGAAGGGAAGAGAAATGTCTCTGGGACTCGTGGGAAGAAGACAGAGGATCTTAGGGCTAGAGAAAGGCATTCACTGCTCTTTGTTTCTGGGGGTTGGAGGAAAGATCAAAGAGCAGACTTTTGTCACTTCTAGAGACAGCTGCTCAGCCAGCCCCATTAGGAAGAGGGAACAAGCACAGGCTAGGGAAAAAGAGTGGGTGATGGAGAGAAAAAGAGAGGGAGGGAAAGAATAAAAGACAAACGTGTCATCCCTGTGCCATTGGCCTGCTCTGCAAGGCCAAGGCAACCTTCTTGTAAGAGTCTGATGGGACTTCCAGGAAGCTGTGGGCAGAACCTGGAGAGCAGCCCCAAGTCTGCCTTGAACCCCCATCTTCACAGGAGGGTGTGGCCTATGCCTGAGTGTGAGTTTGGCCGCCGCTGCTGGTTTTGGACTTGGCTCTTTGTCTATCTTGGCTCTTCTTTCCACCCCTTTCTCCTCTCTGCTTTGTTGAGCTTCACCTTCCTCTGAGGCTGAAGAGTGAGAGGGCAAGGGGTGGGGCGTGCTCTTAACAGGGAGAAGAGCACCTTACAAGCCCAGCACAGGATACTTCTGTCCCTCAAGCCTCCGCTACTGCCCCAGAGTGGGTTACAGCAGGTGTGTGCTGCAGACCCTCCCCTGGGGCAGCTGACACAGAGCAGACTGTGCCAGGGGAGCTGTGGGAGAGCTAGACAGACTTTGATAAAGCTCTGCACACCACTGTCCTCCCACCCCAGAGAATGGTGATCGGTCACTGCACTGGTCACAGGTCCCCGGTCTCCTTTTCGGAGCAGTTAGGGAGAGCTGGGTGGACCAGACACTACTGCCAAGGGTGTGTGTGCAGCAGCTGAGCACGTCCCGCCCCCCGCAGGTGATCCAGCAGGCCCTGCACAGGCAGCCCGGCACGGCAGCACAGTACCTGCAGCAGATGTACGCAGCCCAGCAGCAGCACCTCATGCTGCAGACGGCGGCCCTCCAGCAGCAGCACCTCAGCAGTGCCCAGCTCCACAGCCTGGCGGCTGTTCAACAGGTGAGGCAGGGGTGACCCGACTCTCCTGCCAGTGGTCATGGTTGTGAGTGTGAGACAGCAAGCAGGCCCTGCCTTGAGAGCACCACATGCATTCTCTGAGTCCTCCGGGAGCCCCGGGAGGTTGTTACCTCCTGTTGGCAGCTGAGGAGCAGAGCCCATGGGCTCAAAGCCAGGGAGTGGAGCACTGGGTTCTCACCCGCCCACCCCAGGGAAGAAGTACCAGGGAGCCTCTTTCTTTGCTTTTTTGCTTGTTTGTTTGATTGTTTTAGACAGAGCTCTGTGCCCTGGGTAAAGCACCGTGTCGTCATAGCTCACAGCAACCTCAAACTCCTGGGCTCAAGCGATGCTCTTGCCTCAGCCTCCCGAGTAGCTGTGACTATAGGTACCCACCACAATGCCTGGCTAGTTTTTTTTCTATTTTTAGTAGAGATGGGGTCTCTCATTCTTGCTCAGGCTGATCTCAAACTCCTCAGCTGAAGCATTCCACCCGCCTGAGCCTCCCAGAGTGTGCTAGGATTACAGGAGTGAGTCACTGCACCGTGTCACTGCATGTCCAGAAATGGGCCAGGGATCCCAAGGAGGCATCCACAAGCACAGGGCATTGCCCGTTTAGTTTGTCTGTTGTTGGTCTCTCTCCTCCTTGGCTGAGAAGAATACTTCATTCATTCATTCATCCCATTCATTCATTCAACAAAATGTTTTATGCACCTACTGTATGCAAAGTTAAATAAAGTACTGGGTATACGGTGAACCCTGACTTCTTGGAGCTTATAATGAGGAGCCATCCAGTAAACAGGAAGCAAAATGGCCAGGGAAACATAGTAGTTAAATACCTCAGTTGTGATAAGCTCTACAAAAGAAAAGAACAATTGTTGTGACTGAAGCACAAAGAGGAAGCCCTGCCTCAGTGGTCAGGGAAGGCACGTCTGCTAGAGTAACACTGAAGCTGACATCTGAAGGCTGAGAAGCAGCTTGCCAGGGGAGAAGGGCAGTTTGCACGTTCCAGACAGTCTCTGGAAACTCTCAGCCTGGGGCCCGTGGACCGGGGCTGGCGGGCGGTGAGGCTGAAGGCCGTGGTGAGAGGGACAGAGTGCTCAGAGTGGTGCTCTGCCTTGCCAGGCCTCCCGGCAGTCCTCCAGGGGAGCTACTGTTATTGGGCTCACCTTACCAAAGAGGAAGCCAGGCCACTTGCTCAAGGTCACACGGAGGAGGCTGCTGTCCCTCCGCTGGCCTGCAGTGCCTCCTTCGGAAAACGAGAGACCAGGAATGACTGGGGTGGTCTGAGACTCTAGTGAGAGGAGTTTGCTCTTTTCTAGGCGAGCCTGGTGGCCAACAGACAAGGGAGCACTTCAGGCAGCAGTGTGTCTGCACAGGCCCCAGCCCAGTCATCTTCGGTGAGTAGGATGGGGGAGCGGCAGGCAGGGTCACAGCTTGGGGAGCAGCTCCTTCCTCCTTGTCTGGAATGCTCATGAGTTCCCAGACCCGGTTGTGAATCTTTAGCCATGTTGAATCATGGCTGGAATCTTGTCCTTGCCAGAACAAAAAGAATGCATACTTCTTCTAATCCTTACATTAGTACCTCCCTGCCATCTTTCCGATGTCAAGGCTCCCTATTGATAGCACAGCTCCCTTAACATTGGACCCCCCCTGCAGCTCTGCACCAAGACACTGGGGAAGTGCCCAGGCTCAGGGACCACAGAGAGTCCTAAGGGAGGCTGAGTAAATGAAGGAAGGGAACGAATGAAGGAAAGACGTAGATGACAGGGACACAGACCCCCCCACCCCCGCCCAGAACCTCCTGTCTCCTACTGCACGTCTCTCTCACCAGATCAACCTGGCCGCCTCCCCAGCAGCAGCCCAGCTCCTCAACCGGGCTCAGAGCGTCAACTCTGCAGCAGCCTCAGGCATCGCCCAGCAGGCTGTGCTCTTGGGCAACACATCGTCCCCAGCCCTGACTGCGAGCCAAGCACAGATGTATCTAAGGGCACAGATGGTGAGTACCCACAACCTGGGCCACGGCTTGGGGTGGGGGTGGGGGGACAGAGGCAGAGACGCTGGGAGATTAGAGAGGGGTGGGGAGGTAGCACTTGGGCCAGGGGCAACAGATTCAGGGAGGGATAAAGAAGGGGCCTGGAGGGCTGAGTGGTAGCTTTGGTGGAGGCTCACTGACTCAAGAGGGTGGGGCTCTAGGCTGACACCCCTGATGCTGCTTTTTTCTCCCCCTAGAGTGAAAAAGAATTGTTCCCTACTTATCAGAAACTACTTCTCAAAATTTGGAGTGCACAGTACAGGGTGCACGCCCAGATGGTTCTGGACCCTCAGACATGTAAAATAGGCAGACACATAGGTGTCCATGTGCTCTACAAAAGTGGGATCTTCCCCTGCTATGACAGTCCTTACAAGAAATGACCGCCTCTAACATGGGAGTCAGAGGCACATTGTAGGCCTGGTGTGAAGGGACAGCCAGCTTCAAGGCACACTGCTGACTCTACTGCCCTACCAGCTGGGCCCCCATTCTGATCAAGGCAGGTGGGCCTGTTGGGGCAGAACATTCTCAGGATAGCACCAGCCCTGGACAGGCACACCTAGAGTCTCTCCTTTGCACCTGTCCCTATGGAGGTCCTTAGGAACCTTATGCATTCCTAGGATTTAGAGCAATTTCCTGAGAAAATAGAAGCACACTCCCAGGGAGGGAGGCAGTAATGTTAAGCCCATGGTGGGCTTAGATCTCATACCTCCCATTCCTCCAAGATTCCTCCCTATAACCCCTTGACACACCTTCCCGAAGATAATACAGTCCTGTTTGCCCTTTGCCCTTGTGGCCAGAACTTGACACTGGGACTTTTCTGGTCTTCTGTACTTTTACTCTTGGCTCTGAGTTCATCCTGGAGGCAGGTCCCCATTCCCAGGGAATCTCCTCTTAGATGCACAGCATGAAATAGACATCTCCCTAGGGTACTACCCAGCCACATCGCTTCACTGTCTGTTGCCCTAGCTGGGGTCCTGACACCTGCCTGCCGGCTCCCTAAAGCAGGGCAGGAGAACAAGCGCAGGTGTGTCTGTGCAGAGCCCTAGGGAAAGCACCTGTCAGGATACCAGCAAATCGACCCTGATGCAGAGCAGAGTTCATGTGGAGGTTAAGGTGTCTGCAGAGAGCACCTACACCCCTGCAACAGAGGCGCAGACACAGCACAGTCTAGTTCCTCCACTGATGTCTCCAGCCCTGCCCCCCAATCTAAATTGACTAGAACAGTGGTTCTCAACCTTCCTAATGCCAAAGCCCTTTAATACAGTTCCTGTGGGTCGCAACCCAGAGGTTGAGAACCGCTGGACTAGAAGACGACCAAAAGAATACATCAAATTGATCCCCTGTGGAGGGAGATCTTGTTCTGGATCAGCCGTGGGTCTAAGAGGGGGTTAGATCTTGAAAATGGTCCTAGGGCAGCTGTCTCAGCCCAAGGTCTCTGTGCTCCCAGAGTGCTGAGAAGGTAATAACTTCAGGGTGGCCTGGGCATCCTGGTCCCCTCTAGGATGAGCTCCTCCGAGAGGGTTCTGAAGGAAACTCAGCTTTGGTGCAACCCCAGAGGGCTCTCTCCCCAACACCCCCCTCCCCCGCCACTGCCCAGCCTGGGTCAGGATGGTCTCTCCCTCTGTCTCCTCCCCTGGCCTTCCCCATAACTGCTCTTGAGCTAAACTGCCCTGTCCTGCGGCTCAGCCCACATTGGGCAGGTAAAAGGCGCCTCGTTTCCTGTGATTCCAGGCCCAGCCAGGTAACCTGGTGCAGGTAGCTAGGAGCCTAGGCGGCACTGTTCCTTTGTCCCCTCAGCTCATCTTCACGCCCACGGCCACCGTCGCTACTGTGCAGCCTGAGCTCGGCACTGGCTCCCCCGCCCGGCCCCCCACCCCCGCCCAGGTGAGGACTCCATGCTTGTGGGAGGGCAGGGGGGTGGGCAACACTGTAGAGGGGGACTGATGCTGGGATGGGCATAAGCCCTGGAGGAGCTCTGAATCTTTAGAGAGGCTGGGACCTTCTAGGAAAGCAGGTGGGAGATGGGACATCCCAGCGCTCCCAGGCTGGCTCCTTCATTCCTGTCCAGCCAGAATCTGCTCCTCTTCATCCTGTTTTGTTCACTCAAACATAGCTTAGGAACCAGAGAGCAGCGTGCTGGGGCCAGCATGATTGCCAGTGAGGAGTGGTCAGTGCTACCCTCCACCCCCAGGCACGCGCACGCCGCACACCCTCCCCAGTGTAACTTCCTCCATGTTGCTGCTTGGCGAGTGCAAGTCCCGCTCTGGTTGCACATGCTAGCACTGCTAAGATCAGGAAAAATGGCATGGAAAAGAGAGCATAGTCGTGTTCCCTCCTCAGGCTGGGAGCACAAGGACCCTAGTGGCTGTGAAGATTCTGTGCACAGCAGGGAAAAGAACACCCTCCCACTCCCACCTCTCCAACCCCAGGCACAGAATGGCATCTTGGAGCCCCAGAGCCTGAAGGGCTTGGTAGCACAGCCTCTGTGTGTCCAGCAGAGGGCGCCAGGGACCAGGGTGAATAACACACTGGCTGTTAAGCTTACAAGGAGGACAAGATAATCCTTTGCCTTGTGGCCCTGATGGTCAATTAACTTTTGCTTTTGCCCTGGACTTTTTCACCATGGGAAGGCCCATGCTCCACTGAGTGGTACGCTTCTGATCCTGAGAATTTGAGGAAAGAGGGAGGCCCCAGGAAGAGGGAGAGGCCTAGCCTCACTGCCCTTGCTTGCTCAGTAGGCAGCAGCCCTTTCTCAGAAGTCAGTGTCTTCTGCTAATGGGTCCAGTCACTAGCAAACGTCCTTGCCCTCCTTAGAAACTCCACCTGCCTAACTCATTCTCTCTCCCTTTCTCTCTGATTTTACAATCTACTATCCTGCTCTGCCACTCCTGGGTCCATCCCTAACTCTGCCCTCTCTTGGTTGTGTTTTGGGGCATTGCTCCTACCCACATTCTCTGGACTCCCATAGACCCCTCTTTTCCAGGTACAGAACTTGACCCTCCGAACACAGCAGACACCAGCTGCAGCAGCCTCGGGCCCTCCCCCCACTCAGCCTGTCCTGCCCAGCTTGGCCCTGAAACCCACGCCTGGCAGTAGCCAGCCTCTGCCTACCCCATCACAGGGCAGAAACACTGCTCAGGGTTCCCCCGCAGGTGCCAAGCCTGGCATAACTGACAGTGTGATGGAGCCACTCAAGAAAGGAGATGGCAGCGGCAGTGTGCCAGGGAACATGGAGGGCCGGGCTGGGCTCGGCCGGGCGGTTCCTGCTGTGGCTACCCACCCCCTCATTGCACCAGGTAAGGGCTCCAGGAAGAAGGAATCCTAGCTCAGAAAACTCAAGATTGTGGGTCAGAAGGAAATTCTCAAGCATTCCTTCTTCCCATAGACTTGCTAAGATACCAGCCACATGTCTCTCTGCCCTGTCCCCATCCTGAGGTATTCATCAGCTCCCAATGCTGTTTCATGCTTATAGTCTAACTTAAGGAAGGAAGTGATCAGGTGGGATAAATGAGTCCTTCACAATGGACACAGGGATGAATCTTGCCCTGCACAAGCATAGTTCATAACCTTGAGTAAGTGGGAGGTTGGCGGTATTCTGAAATTCTCTAAGATTCAGCAAAAAGGACAGGGGCTACCCAGAAGCATGTAGGAGCTACACAGGGAGATGGCGGAAGTGGGAGGTTTGTTTTTTCATCATCCAGCAGATACTTGTTGATTAATATTGGCCATCATGTTGCCAGTTCTAAGTGTGCAGAGATAAATGAGACTTGGGCCCTGCCCTACAAGGAGGGCGCACCCTAGTTGAGGAGATGGACAAGTACAGTGCAGTAGGTTGTGGTAAGTGCTGTAATACATGGAAGCTCTGACCGGTGCAGGAGGACAGAGGAGCTGTCTAGCCTTGAGGAAAGAAGCCAAGAAAGGCTTGCCAGGGAGGGAGATCCCTGGAAATAAATCTAACAGATTAAAAAAAAATCCAGCAGATGACTTGTGAGGCAACTTCTGTGAAGGGATGAATCAGTGTTCCCTGGCTAGACTCCCTTCCCTGCCTGTTGAAACTCCCAGCACTGCCTATTGTGGGCATTTTTTAATGGGAAAATCTGCAAGAGCCCTAGAAGCCAGAATTAAATCCGTCTAGAGAACAAGACCAAGCTGTTACACCACGGAAATAAATATAGTAGTGGACCACACAGCTTTACATTAAAGCTGAGCCACCCTGATCACATCCCTGAGACATCCACCAACACTCTCTCCTCATCCAGACCATTTTACTATCCAATCTAAGCTACAGTTTTCTCTTGAAAAGAGAACATTTATCTCAAGAATATATCTTCTTTTTTTTTTTTTTTTTGAGACAGAGTCTTACTATGTCACCTTCAGTAGAGTGCTGTGACATCCCAACTCCCAGCAACCTCAAACTCTTGGGCTTAAGTGATTCTCTGGCCTCACCCTCCCAAGCAGCTGGGACTACAGGCACCCGCCACAACGCCTGGCTATTTTTTTTGTTTTGCAGTTGTCATTGTTGCAGTTGTCGTTGTTTAGCTGGACCAGGGCCAGTTCGAACCCACCAGCCTTGGTGTATGTGGCTGGCACTGTAACCACTGTGCTATGGGCACTGGACCTTAAGAATATATCTTAAGGGTAGCACCTGTGGCTCAAAGGAGTAGGGCACCAGCCCCATACGCCAGAGGTGGCAGGTTCAAACCCAGCCCCAGCCAAAACCTGCAAAAAAAAAAAAAAGAATATATCTTAATATATCTTGGTCAAAATATAATTTTTTTACCCAAGGGAATGTGGAATCAAAAGAGGAGCTTCAGATATGTAAGCAAGACTGTTTTATTTCATAAATTCTATTGTAGGACGAAGTACCAAGTACATTGTGGGCACAGACGGTCCACTCACTGCAGGCAGGACAGGTCACAAATGTTGTCCCGCAGAGGAAGGGGCACAAGAATCTTAAAACATGAGCAAATTACCCAATAGACAAAGTAGAGAAGGGCATTCCAGACCGAGGAAGCAGGGCATATGACTCAGAATTGGAAAAAAACCCAGTCGAAGTCCTTTATTAACCTTTCTGAGGCTTCAGAAATCCCCCAGGGACATAGGGTCAGACGCTGCATTCCAGTGGTCACTGCTGAGCTGAGGAAGGCGCCTCCCTGCAGAGGCCTCACTGCCCTAGGCTTCCAGATGTTTCTCACTGTCTGGCATTGCTTTCCCCAAAGACTGGGCCAGCCTCTTCCTTTTGTGGAAAAAGAAAATGATACTCAGAGGAGTGAAGACTGGGTGATCTTCCAGTGTGTGGGTAGCCGTCTGGATTAGAGCAAGGCCCCTCAATGAGCATTTCCTAAGGTTCTCATTCAGTGTGCATGCCCTAGAGCAATGTCAAGGCCTCAGGACTTCCTGAGACCCCCTTTCCTGCTTAGGCCAAAATGTAACCTCTTTCTAAATCTAAGCCAGTCCCCCAAATCCTAAGGATTGTACAAAAAAAAAAAAGACCATTTGTAGGGTTCTTCCTAAGGCTATCAGGCAACTCTGAATTCCCAAGAAAACTGAACACAGAAGGGACTGGCCCTTACAGAATGTCCAGTCTGCTAGATGACATGCATAGCCCTTTTCTAAACCTGGGAAGGAACCCTGGAAGGTAGGTGTTTTTATCCATTTACAGATGAGGAAACTGAAGCTCTGAGGGCTCATCACGCACTTACTACACACGTCACTCAAAGTCACTTAAGTAGTAAGTGGCAGAATGGGTATCCAGCTCCATATCTGGCTTAGTTGAGTCCTGTGTTCTCAGTCATCAAGCCGGACTGCCCCTCCCAGTTCTTACAGTAATTCGGGGCCTCCTTGGCCTTTCTTGTTACAGACCCCAAAGCTTAAAGAATTCCATGTAAACTTAAAGGCCAGTGAGTTACAAGCTTGAGATCCTTAGGCCTGAGACTGGCAGTACATGGCTATATTGCAGTACAGAAATCAGCAGCTCCATAGAACTTTCTATGGAGCAGCTGTGAGCGGCAGTCCCACAAAGACCCTCTCCCCAGAGACACAGTCAGCAGGCCTTGCATTGTTCCTGCCTCCCACCGTCCAGTCCTATTCTTCCTTCCTCTCCCACCCCTTCCTCTCTATGAGCCCTGTGGTTCCATCCCCCGCCCCCCACCTCCCACTTGGTAGGCAGCTGGAGGAGATTTAGGAGCAGCAGATCCTCTTACGGGGGCCTCTGGAACAAAAAAGACTGAAATCATTCTTAGGACCTGATGGGGGGCAGCCTGGAGCAGCACCTGTCTTGGGCTCCGCAGTTCCCCAGACAGAGGTGACTTCTGGCCTCCTGCCCAGCCAACCCACTGTGAAGGAACCAAATGAACCGAGGAATTGGGGAGCAGGAGAGAAGAGCGTGCTTGTGCTTGTTCATGTGTGTGTGTTTGTGAGAGAGAGGGAGACAGAGGGAGAGCATGCAGCGCATTTTTTTGTTTGTTATTGGAGCATTTTTTGAGCTGGCTGGCTAAATGCCCCTGGGGAAAGTAACCAGTGGAGACTTGTTGGGGGGGGGGGTGTAGAGCAGAGAGGAATGTGCTCTCCTGAGGGCTGTTCCCCCCAGAGCAGGCAAACCCTCCAGTCCCAGCTGGGACTGCTCCCACTGACAGCTGTTTGGGGGCAAAGCCCCTCCCCCAGGGCAAGCTCCCTGCTGCTCCTGGCTCCTGTCACCTTGGCAACCAGCTTCTTTAGGCTCTGCAAATAGAAAAGGTCCCTTATGCCCAGAAAAGGGATGGGGGGAGCAGGTGGGGGAGGGGAGTAAGGGGCGGAGAGCAGAGTCTAAGAGGTTGGTCTTTGGAGGAGAAGGCAAAAGGTCTGGCTTTGCCCTTGGTGACAGGAGGACTGAATAACAGAGGGCAGAAAAGGGCAGGCAGCAAGGGTCCCATGGCCTGGCCTCCAGGGAAGCTGAGTCCTAAAGGAGCTGGGCCACAGCTCTAGATAGGAGGCTTGTTCTTGGAGACCTCATGCCAGGGGATGAGCTCCAGGCTTTGGGGGTACACTCAGGCCCAAAGGTGAGGAGAAAGTTGCTGACCGGGGATGGGGATGCTATGATGAAAGGGAACTGTCGGGTCATTGAAAATGCTGGGTCCTTTTCACCCAGTGGAGCCTCCAGATGCCAGGGCTTTGTTCTAGATCTTCAGCCCGCCTCAGGTCTCAGCTGAAGGCAGAGCATTCTGTGGGGAAGCCCTGCCATGGAGCTGCAGAGGGCATTTTGTGTCAGGGAGCAGTGGCTTCTCTCTCCCAGAGCCTGGGCGATGTGCTGCTGCTGATGCTGCTGATGCTAGCAGATGAACCATATTTCCCTTCGAAACAACCACCCACTTTGACTTAGAGAATCTAATAAAAACTAAAGCCCACAGGTGGACCTGGTATCTAGCTGGCAACAAAAATTCCCAGCAATTTTGATATTAAAATCATGGAACCAGCCAGGAAGGTTGTTTCAACTATCCACGATAGGACCAAATTAGATCACTAAGAAACTCTTCTTAGATTCAAGGGGGGGAATCCGTAAGTGGAGGAGTTTGCATCCTTCACCATATGTGTGTGGCTGCATGTGAGAAAGGGAGACGGGGAGAGAAGAGAGAAAGGGAGAGAGAAGGAGAGGGAGAGAAGAAAGAAAGGGAGAGTGGGAGAGAAAAGAGAAGGATAGGGAGAGAAGGAGAGAGAGAAGAGAGAAAGGGAGAGAAAAGAGAGAGGAGAGGGAGAGAAGCGAGAGAGGGAAAGGAAGCCGACTGCAACACCCAAAGGGCCTGAGAATTACTGGGCATATCTTCTTTCCTGAAACTCATCACCCTAGGCTTCTATTACACTGTTTTCCTAGTTGCTGCCGGCTAATATTAATAATTACCATTTAATGAACAACCATGTCCCATGAATTGTACCAAATACCTACATATCTCACTTAATCCTAACAGCGATTATTCCATTTCACAGATGAAAAAGATATGGCTCGGAAAGAGTGATTACGTGTCATCCCCAAATATCTTAAATTGTTCAGTTCAGCACAACAAATATACCTTTAATGCCAATTATGTGCCATGCAGGGCGGCGCCTGTGGCTCACCGAGTAGGGCACTGGCCCCAGATACCAAGGGTGGCAGGTTTGAACCTGGCCCTAGCCAAACTGCAACAAAAAGTAGCTGGGCCTTGTGGCGGGCACCTATAGTCCCAGCTACTCATTGCCGAGGCAAGAGAATCGCCTAAGCCCAAGAGTTGGAGGTTGCTGTGAGCTGTGATGCTATAGTACTTTACAGAGGGCAATAGAGTGAGACTCTGTCTCTAAAAATATATATATATTCTGTGCCATGCATTGTGCTGGGCACTGTGGGGGCTACAGAGGGGAATAGAGTTTAAATTCTGGTAGGGGTTGTGGAAATTTGAGTTGTACTTTGAAAAATGAGTATGTTTCAAAAATGGAACAGAAGGAGGATTAGCTCAGCTGATGCTAGGAAGCACCAAAGCCCAGAGTGGCCTTGTGCGCACGTGGCCATCTGTGTGTGTGTGGGGGGGGACCTGTTCCTCCTCCTTCTCCCTTGCCCCACTGCCACTACTGTGGGTCTTCCAAGAGACTCAGCCCTGTGCCCCTTGGTGTTTCACTCCTCGAGGAGCTTGTCTGTTCAGACCTTCCAGACCCCTTTGCCCTGTCTGCTGACAACCTCTCAATTTGTGTCCATCCCGTCCTCACCCCCTCTCCCAGCAGATTTCTCCCTGTCTATTGGATACTCCTACTTGGGTATCACCCTACCTGCAGGCAAGTTTGTTGTTGTTGTTGTTGTTGTTGTTGTTGTTTTAATTTGGAGAATCCAAAAACAACACAAAAACCAAAACACCGAAAAATCAAAACCCAGTTCCCTTTCCCAGCTTCTGGACCACTGTCCATAATCAGGGGGTCTTCCTGCGCCCCTGGCTCACAGAGTTATTCTGTGTTCACGTTCCTTCGCCAGGAAGGCAGAGTGTCATAGTGGGAAAAGCATGGGATTCAGAGCTAACCTGATTTCAGGCCCCAGTTTCATCACTTATTAGTTTAATGACCATAATCAAGTTATTTCATCTCTATAAAGCTCAATTTCCTCATCTATAAAATGGAGGTGATTATATTTCCCACAGGCTGTAAGGATGAGTGAAGTGGCTGGGAAAGGACCAGCACAAAGTAAACTAGGGCCAGACATTTGTTCCCTCTCCCTCCTAGTCCCACCCTCCATCATCACCCAGCTTATCACCAGCTAGGCGCCAGGTTCTGCTGACACTTCCTCTGCACTGGCTCCCTGCCTTGCTCAAGGCCTGCTGACCATGCAAGGATTCACTGATCTCCAGGGCTAGAATCCTGCCACTAGAAGTACCTTCCTCAGAGACTGCATTCGTTCCTACTTGTTTCAAAACCTGCACACTGTCTTTATGTCCTACTTGGTTGCTGGAATGAACATCTAGTCTGTAGTTAAGGCTCACTAAATAGCATGGTAATCACTTCTGGCAGACAGACTCCTATGGAACCTTCAAGACCTTCCCCACATTGCCCTCTGCACCACTCAGATTGCTCAGGGCTTCTTCATGCACACCCTCCATTATGGCCAGGCAAATATGCTCTGTCTCTTCTCCCTTATTCCTTATCCCTGTGACTTACTTGGCCTGTCATATAACTCTTGCCTCCCTGCCTCCTGGCATAACAATCCCTCTTTGTTGTCCATCCCTCCACGATTACCTCCACAGCGCTCAACAGCCTGCATCTAATACAGAAATACAGGCTTACTGTAGTAATTTGTGCGTGCTGATTTGTGTCACTCAGCCATGTGCATCTTTGAGCATTTGATGCGTGCAAAGCACCACGCCTCACCTGTCAAAGTCAAATTTCCCTTAACCTATGGCGTTGTAGGAGTCACTGGAAACTTCTCTCAGTTCTTGCTTGTAAACTAAAAACACTGCTTGTTTGCCTCATTGGCTTATTACTACAAATAAACAAGATTCAAATTATAAAAATCCTTTGAGAAGTTTGAAGCAACATACCAATGACAAATGGTATTTTAAGAACAGTTATCATTTACTGGGCTTCTGCTAGACACCAGGCATTGAGCAAAGGCAGCGAACCTCTTCGTAACAGCTACCCTATGTGGTATGTATCACCACTGATAGAACAGGAAGTCGAGATCCAGAGAGGTTCAGCAATTTGTCTGAGATTGCACAGCCTATAGGTGGCAGAGTCAAGATTCAAACCCAGATCTGAAACTCCTTCCTTTAACCATTTATGCTGAACTGTATCCCCGGCCAGGGACAGAGTAGGGACAGAGATGCAGATACCAGTTTCTTTTTTAATGCTCCAAGCTGTTTAGCCAAGAATCCTTTTAAAAGTGGGTATTCAGGAGTTTTGCAAGAGGGCTGCAGAGCCAGCCTAAAGACTTTAAGGCATATATACACCACAGGAGAGTGCCCCTGCCATTGGCAATCCTGTGTTTATAACCTAATTTCCTCTTACAGGGAAACTTCCCTTAACTCTACAGTCCCTCAAACTCCTTCTGACCCTAAGCCTGGAGGGAATGTACCACAGAAAGTTCATGTGGTTGTTTTAGATTTTTTAAAGAAGAGCTTCCTGTCTATTTATGTCTATGTGAAGCTCTGTTCTCCAGTCCACCTCAATCTCAGTTACTTCCCGAAGTCTGATCACACAAGACATCTTTCAAAACGAGCAGCCTTTTGAAAGTACTAGCATAATTTA